CCTCCCTTCCTCCTCCCTTGCTTCCTCTTCCTCTTCCTCTCTCCCTCCTCCTTCCTTCCTCCCCTTGTCCCTCCCTCCATTTCCACATATAATATAGGCTTGTGCCATTTGCCCTCCCCTCATGATGCTCAGGAGAGCCCCAGTGAAGCTGCCTCCTCCCCCTCCCCCTCCTCCTCAGCCTGCCACTTTGCTGGGGGGAGGTGGAGCCAAGGGAGCCATGGTCTGTGAGGAAAACTGCACTCCCGCTCCTAATTCCAGTGTGTCCCCAAGGGCCCCCTCCTTCAAGGGAGGAAGAGGACTTGCCCATTGACCACCGGTACCCCCTAGCCAGCCCTACCTTGCCAGCAGGCACCTGAGCTGCTCCCTCATCCTTCCCTCACTGCCAACTGCTGTTAAGAGATTTCAAATTTCTGCCTTGTTTCCGTACAGCCAATCGCCGCTTGCCTGTCAGGCCTTCCCAGCAGCGATTGGGCGCAGGGGATAGAAGGAGTCAGGAAAGAGGTCAGGAATACACCCATGACGATCATGTGACCTGGGCTGACTGCTGCAGTGCCATGCTGAAGCAGCCACAAATTTCCCAAAGTTCAATCCCATGGGAGTAATGGGTCCCAGAATTTGGACATATTCTGTAAGTTAGCCCATTTGAGGCTATAATAAAATATGGAACTTTAACCCAGTGTATACAAAATACACTGGGTTAAAAAAAAAAACAGGATAGTCATATAACTTTATTGGAAATATATATGTACTTGAATAACATTTGAATTAGATAAGCATATATAAAATTGGAACTGTGTACTATTATAATGATGTATTAACTTTTTTGTTGAATTTTTTCACTTTTATGTTAAAGCACTCTTATATAATTTTTTTCCTTTTTTTGTAATAAAAAATTAATTTAAAAAAAGTTAGCCCATTCGAGGTACCTTGGTTCAAAAACTGTTGCCTTATGACACACCATTTTGCCCACCTGAATACTATAGACACGAGAGTTTTAGTAGATTTAACCTAAGCAAATGTAAAACACATTCTAAAACAATAACACTGCAGGAAAAATTAATCTTAAAGTCCAATCTTAAATGAAATGGATTCTGAAAAGATATATCCCTGACAGCGGGGAAAAATTGCATATTTACTCTGTACCTCTCTTTTCTTTTCATATGTCAATTCTAAGCGTTTCTCTTATTAGCTTTAATTAAGATTTAAAATTTCAACTGCACCTGTGCTTTTCATGGTTTGTATCAATCAGGTTCCCTCTTAACCAGGTTTTGAAGATCAAACTTGAACATCAATTATGGTTTGCATTGATATAGATTAGCACCAAATCTTGGTTAAACAATAGCAAAAAAAAGTTTCATTCAGGATAGGGCAAGTTTCCAGAAATCACAACCTGCTGTCTATCTCCTGTATTTAAGAAATTGGCAGTCATAAATCAATACAAATTTCAATACATACCTTAGTGTTAAGTGCAGAAGTATGTTTTGTTCCTTGATACAGGACTAGCAGTGTATCCTGTAGTCCCTTGCCCACGCAGGAGGCTTTATTATAGCAAGGTTTATATTATCCATTTGTACTTATTTTCAAAATAAAAATGTCAAGTACTGATGAATTCATGCTTTCAGAGTTTCTCTAACAGCATGTATCAATAATAAAAAGTGCATATCTGCACTATTGTTCTGCCAACACACATTTTTCTTTCTTTTATGAAACAGTTGCACCTAGCTAGCCTTGGCTGATTTGTAAAGTTAGACAAGTTTTGTCCTATTTATTACTTGGATGGGACCAGGGCTATAGGCTGGAAGCTTCCCAGAAGAAGGCAATGGCAACCGGTTCTATATTGTTCCCAAGAAAATTATATAGATACATCCATAGTCTCCAGGAGTCAGGCTCAGTTAAAAAAAAAAAAAAAAACTCTACAAACAATTAGCTCTAGATCTCTAAATCTTAAGAATTACAAATCATTAAAATAAAATGCGTAGATTTGTTGTTACTAGCTACAGATAATTTTGGTTAAAACTCTTTTCGTTAGTCATTTCATGTATTAAAATAAAGATTTCTTTAACAAGAAGTCTCTTCCATAGCAGTCCCTGCCCTTTAAGCCTTCTGGAAGACTGTAAAGAGCTGGCTGTTTCTCCAACTGTTGGAATAGGGTGAGGTGGGAGCCTGTGGGTGGTTCTGTTGAATGCATCTGAGGAGGATGCCTGAGGCACCAGGTTTTTGTTTTTATTGTTTTTTTAAAAAAATTTTGTTCTTGTGAGCCACTAGAGTTGTGTTCTTAAGATGGATAACCATATAATTTTTTAAATAAATAAATAAGAATAAAAGTGGATTATTATTTAATAGAGTTTGACAATCTTCAGCAGTACTTTAGAAGAGCTAAGTTCCTTCAGCAGATATTCATAACACTGTTACTTCTGTCCTTCCATTTTCTCTACTTTTTGAAATTACATCTAGCAACGCAGACTTCATCTTGATCTATTAATGGAGCAGCAAAGGCAGAAAGTTTTGAGTCTCAACTTCTGCAGCTTATAAGAAATTTCATTTGGCTTTACCATTTCTAAAAGTCCAAGACAAAATATCGGCATTTCTCAGATCATGTAATTTTTTAAAGCCCCATGAAGTCCCTAAGTCAGTATTTTCAGATCTGCTATTAAATTAGTGTTTCTTTACTTCAGTACCTCGCTTAAGAAGTATTTCTAATATTAAATGTTTAATTAGTTACAGCAGAGCATTTAAAACACAGCCCAATAAAGTATTTCTAGTATTATGTTTGATTAATGACAGCAGAGATCTAATCTATAATCCTTTTGTCTGTTTTCTTTCTTTGTATTTTTCTTCACAGGTAGTCCTCGTTTAGCGACCACAATTAGAACTGGCAACTCAGTCGTTAAGTGAAGCGGTTGCTAAGTGAAACTGCAACTGGGCTTATTATCTTACTTCAGCTTTCCTTTGCTGTATAGACCTGTGAAGGTCGTAAATGTGAGGATTGGTCACAAAGTTACTTTTTCATCACCGTTGTAACTGCGAATGGTCGCTAAATAAGGCAGTCACTAAACAAGGACTACCTGTATTTGTTTCAAAATACAGCTATGTTGTTGCATGCACAGTGCATCAGCATAGTTCTTTTACCATCTGTCTTTGCTGAGGTTCCAGTGTGTGCTATCACTAATAATACAAATAAAGTACTAAGTTTATCTTTAGTCTAAGAAGTCATTAATATTAACATGTATAGATACTGATATGTAGATATGTCAATATTTAATTGAAACCAGTAAAATTATTTTTAATGGCTTTTCTGTGTTAATTGTAATTGTTAGAGTTAATTCCTCAGTTGGGTAGAAATAGAAAAAAAAAGGAACTTCCTTTCTGAAAGTTATGCTTTCTTTTTCCAGTATATATATTTACTTATTTATTTCATTATGGAGTTCCAGTGATTAAAAAGATTTTAAAACTGTATGCATAACTGATTATAATAAGGTTTGCTTGTTGCTTTAAAAAAGTCAGTTTCCCCCACATAACTTTAAGATGTTGTTAGGGACATGAAATGGTAAAATGGCAGAATACTGAATATGAATGTCTATCTATTTTTTTATATATTTGATTTATTTTTTCAATAGAGGAAGGGTATGTTAAAATGTTTCTACGTGGACGTCCTGTTACCATGTACATGCCAAAAGATCAAGTGGAATCTTACAATTTGGAAGCAAAGGCAGAATTACCAGCCAAGAAGCTTAAACTGGAATGGGTGTATCCATTTTTTATGGTCACACTTCAAACTAAATACTGCTTATTTCTCATATTCTATTTTTAAAGTACATCTTTAAAGGTTATGAAGCAAAGGAGGCATTTTAATTCAAGGAACTAGTATATTTTCACACACAAACAATTATTAATGCTATGGAACTTTTTGTCTATATCTTTATATCATTAATCATCTCTCAAGAAGGTTTCAGTTTAATGTAGCCTGAAGATGTATGTTTAAAATAAGTTAATTATTATGCTAGTAAATTAGGCATGTAACAAAAAGTAGGGTGCTGCAGTTACTAATTATAATATACTTAAAGAAGGTTTGTGTTTCTAGTGGCATTTCAAAGGGAACTTACATCTCCATACTGTGTTTTTTTAAATTAAAAACTAACCAGGTTTTCAATACAACCATGTAGATCATATACTAATCAAAAACACTGGCTATGCTGGATCCCTTCTTTTAATTATTTCTAACAGTTAATATTTCACATTCTGAGCAGAAGTCAGTATCTTTTTGGCACAAATCAAATATAGTCTTCAGTTTTAGTTACAGTACTTGTGTAGATCAGTCTGATTTCATGTGATTTGCTTTTAGTCTAATTTTAATTGTTTTAATAATTAAAAAATCTACTAGCTATTTGTTATTGTTGTGTTTTATGTTGCCTTAGTTGTCCTGGCTTAGTATCAGGTATGCTGACCAAAAGAGCTGCAACTTTCCCTTTGGGAAGAACCTCTTCCTATTGGCTGTGGGAAATCTGATTTTAAGTGGGAGAAGGAGAATGTTCTATATGGAATTCTGCCCCTCCACAAAGTCAGCACATGAGCAAATTTGCAATTGTTTCAAATCTTCCAGTTCACAGATGCGTTCATAAGCTGCGTTCATAAGCTTTCTAATAGAAAGTTGGTGATCTTTGAGCCAGCATACAATATATGATATGCCATGAAGTATGAAAAGTGTACAAAATATTACAAAAGTATCACCCTTCTTAAAGGGGAATATGTCCTCTCACAACTTGGAACTAGAACTTTAATCAATGACTACTACATGTAACTACCACCAATTGTTCCTGAGACAGAAATTGGTAAAATTTCAGAGTACTTTATGGATCCAGAGTTTCACAATATTGTCACTTCTAATGTTCAGTTGTTATATCTTAACTAAGATGCCAGCTATGGTTACAGAGGTCGGGATTGTCGCAATAATCTGTATCTTTTACCAACCGGAGAAACTGTTTATTTCATTGCATCTGTTGTTGTATTGTATAATGTTGAAGAACAACTGCAAAGACATTATATTGGTCACAATGACGATGTGAAATGGTAAGCCAGCGGAAAGTGATGGTTTGAAAACAAATAAGAATAAAACATTAAAAGCGATATAGTTTAGTCTATTTCTGATAAAGTATAATGGTAGGCTTAGCACCATATTTCACGGGCTATGAACAAAACATCCTGACTTTGTCTTAGAAATGCTGGTGACCCTAGGTTTACTGGTAGTTGCCAGGATATACAGTAGTACTGCCACTGGAACACTGCCATGGCATTTTCACACAGTGCAATGACTAATGAGGAATGGCTAATAAAAATAATTCCATTTTTATGCATTCAGCATTAATAATTCCTGGCTTTCATTTTGGAATGAATAGAAGTTGAACCTAAAGAGTCTTATTTGGTTCAATACTTCATTTGCCCTAAAACAACCTGTCACGGATTAGGAAGGACATACAGCTAAGAGACTGAAGCTGACTAAATAATGGTTTGCCTAAAGCAATCTAGGTTCATGGCTGATGATATCTGAATTAATAGGAAATAATATTTGAATGGGACAATCCCATATAATCTTAACTGTAATCTTCATCAATTGTTCAGCACCAAATATGCATAATTAGAAAAAAGGGAATAAAGAGATTGATGCAACTGCACTTTTAGCCATCTTCATATTTTAGTGTTGGAAAATGCTGTAGATTGATAAATCCATTTGAACATTTTGTCATGAAAAATAAATGATCAGATCTTAGTAGAAATTAAAATAATAAAAATTAAAATAGCATTGTAGGATACTATAGTGTGCATTAGCATTTAATATTAGATAAAAGAGATAAGATAAACACTGAGAATGTTTTCTTGTGTACCCCAATAAATACTCAGAAAATATCAACTAAAAAGTGTCTTGTGTTGTTTTAATTCATGTTGTGAAAAATGCTTTTAAATTTGTTACTTAATAAAGGTATGTTCTCTCCCTCTTCCTTCCCCCCTCCTTTTTTTGGCAGCCTAGCAGTACATCCTGACAGGATTACCATAGCAACTGGTCAAGTCGCAGGGACATCTAAGGATGGAAAAGTAAGCAACCTATTAGAATTTTATTTCCTTGAAATGAAATTCTTTTTACCCTGTGCTAGAATTGTTTTAATATTAATGTTGAACAGCTGAGTTAAAATTAATTCCTAATATTTGTGTTAGTGAATAAGATATTAACTGGTGTTAATAGAATATATGAAAGAAGTTGAAATTGCTCCTGGGCTTCATGTTCCCATTATATTTTCAGCCTATAACTATATCAGTCTTGCCTTTGCTTAAATGTCTGTGCCTCATTATAACTTTGATTTGGACACTTCATAGAGCATCTGAAAGAAACATGCTTGTAGACCATTTTGAATTCAGTGCCCACTTTATTCATGTATATAATAGTTCCAATGTTTAGCATTATTTCGGTATGAGAGTAATTTGTATCAAAATGAAGCTTTCAGATGTTGTTTCAGAAGTTCAAAGTATTCCTTTACTGTTAATGCATAGTTTGGTATGGTGGTTTTAGACTTATTTTGGAAAACCAATATCTCAATTATCTTGAGTCACACTATATCAATGCAGAATGAATGAATAAAAGACAGAATGAGTTTGGATAAAAGCATGATCTTGCTAGGGGAAATAAAATTCAGAGAAATGTCTTAATCTGGGTATTAAAATTGTATAAACATTAGTATTTGCTGTAACCAAAAAACCTACTCATTTATGGTTGGTGTTGAAATCAAAAAGTGGGAAGGGATTAAATGAGGACTATCAATCTGAGCAATTTTATTGAGAATATTTCATTATTTCATTGGACTAAATGTTCTCTCCACACTTCTGTCTCCTCTCAAGATGTTTGCTTCATCACCATGCTTTCTGTCAAAAAGAAAAAAAATCATTGTCATCTATAACAAGTCTCAGCCATTCCATTGCTATACAGATGCCTATTGTAATCAGTACTATTGTTTCCTGCATATTAAGCTAGTTCTTCTCAATATCTATATTATAGCGAACTTCAGGTTCTAAAATATTTCAGCTGATGACTATTCAGGTATCTGGACCCCCTATAGCTAGCACATTTCAAAATTTTGCAAAATCTTGAGGGATGGTTATCTAAGTTTTAGAAAATTCAAGACCAGAATTTAATACCACATTCAGCAGCAATCCTGGGAAACATAAGCAGAAGGATGCAGTTATATTCTGCTTCTGGGCTTCCCATAGCTTTCTGGTTGGTCATTTTAACTACAGAATATGGGACTAATTCTTAAGTTTGACACAGTGTGTATACTTTTCATTTTTCAGTTTATTTAAACATACTGTAAAACTTTGGCTGGATTAAAATGGTTGGCTTGGAAATGTTTAAAAAGATGCTCTCTGCAGATAATATCCTAAATTTGGCCTTCTAATTTCTGTCATTAATTTAAAAACCTAAGAACGGATGCTAGATCTCCTTTCTGGCATACATAAACATTACCATAATGGACATTCTCTCTCAGCCCAACAGGGTTGTGTTATGGGATAAAATAAGAGGAAGGAGTTCTGTGTATACAACTTGAGCCCCTAAATGAAAGGCAGATATAAATCTAATAAATAAAGTAAGTGTAATCTGGTGAATTAGCTCACTGCATTAACTTTAGTTGTCAGTACATAAATATTTTCTGTCTGTCTCCTGTGCAAGTTGAAGTTAAAATTTAAATTTACAAAGATTGCTCTCTAGTGGTCCTGTAAATGCACTGCATGCATATATAATATGAAAATATAGTTTATATGTCAAATTAGAACTATAAAAGGGTATTCCAAATGCAAACTGGATCTGGAGTTTATTATGATTTGGAAGTACTTCTGTTTTTGGCTAAATTTTGAAGTTTTAATCTATCAGGTTATTTGGTTTTTAGAAATATATTTTATCATTTTAAAGATTTCATATACATAATGATGGCAAGCCACTTCTGAAAATCTTGCCAAGAAAATTGCACAGACTTGTCCAGGCAATCGCCAGGAGTCAAGACTGACTTGAAGGTGCCCACACAAAAAAACGTTATATGTAATTAGTTTTACTGTAACAAGAAATTATACAAAGCATTTGTATAAAGCTTTAGAATTCTCATATTATGGAGAGGGATAAGAACACAACAGGAACTTAATACATTTCATGAACTCAGACAGATTCCTATTAATTTTAGATAACTCATATCTCCCCTAATGTCCCCCAAAAATACCAGCTAAGGGAATTGGGGCCCCTCTCTCTTTCCAATAATTCAAGCATCAGGATTTTAGAATATTCATAATGTTTCATATGTAAGAATATTTTCAAAGTTAGACCTTTGTGATTTTTGATTATGTGCCATCAAGTCATTGTCAACTCTTAGCAACAACATAGATAGATTTAATTTGTACCTAACCTGGTTTTCAGGACTTCCAACAGTGCATACATCGCCACTGTAACTGACTCCATCCACCTTGCTGCTTGTTGTCCTCCTCTTTTCTTTCCTTCCACCTTTCCCAGCATTATAGCCTTCTCCAGAGAACTAGGTCTTTTCATAATGTGTCTGAAGTACGATAATTTGGGCCTGGTCATGGGTGCCTCGAGTGAGAACTCTGGGTTGATTTGTTTGATGATCCATTTGTTTTATTCCCATTAGGACTGTGGACTGCTTGTGGGTGTGTAAATGTAGCACCTGTTTGCAACTCTGGGAAGAGAACGTGCTTGATTAAGGTGTTGCAAATAGGTGATAATCCTTATGCACTCTAAAGCACCTTTTTGTCTTTGAATCTGAAACACTACATAGTTCTAATATCTACTGCAAATGAGAGGCTAAGCCTGAAATAGTTATTTCACTTAAGACCTCTAACAAATTCATAGCATTGATTGTGGGCTTTGTCATTTGACCTGTGGTGCTGTTTCCATTCTCCAAAGAATTTGAACAGAATTGTTTCAACTTCTACAACCTTGGATCACTGAAAACAGACAGGGAACACTATTAGGCGATTGGTGGTCCCTCCAGCTGACCAATAGGAGAGTACAAAAATCGTCAGTCAGTGCCTTGCTTCCCAGCTACATCAGCTCATGGAGTAACAAAATAATCTCATTACTGCTGTACATAGAAACAGGAAAAATAAGATTCCAGATGCCCCCCCCCTCCGTTGTATATGTTTGACTCAAAAAAATTTCAGCTGTTAATATGAAGGAAAAGTGCATAACATCAAGATGTCATTCTTCATGCATATAAATTTCCATTAAAAGCAGTGATGATGGTATGGAACCATAGCTTTTTAGCCAGCTGCTTTGGTTGCCAGGCAAACCCACTGTGAGGGTTTGCTTGAACTCACTGGCCAAGAGATAGGATAAGGCAAGAGTTCAAAGCATGGTGCTTATACAAGCAGGTAAAATTAAGCTAGGCTTTTTTTTAACAGGGACTGTGACACTGACTAAAAATATTAAATCTCTGTTCATGAATAAGGTTGCCTATGAAATCTACCCGGGAGCTTGATGTGCAGGAGTAGGAGGCAGAATGAAGGAAGAATTCCTACAAAAGGGAAAATAGACTGCTTTCAAACTGTGCAGAGCTACAGTGCTGCAAATCATACAATGGAAGTTTCAACATGTGGCACAGCTCATATGTTATACCACAGCCAGACCAGAAGAAAATGGACCCAGCTGGCCAAGGAAGCCAGTGTTGTGAGAATACAAGCAGCATGATGTTTATCCCAGAGCAGTGCAGCTCCACATGGGCAGGTGTCCTAAACCTTTTGGCAGCAGCATCACTGCAGTTAATTATTGGACCTTCAAACTTTGGCATAGAATGGACTGTTTTCCAAAATACCTGTCATTTGCCTTGAGCTGAGTTGATTACTTCAAACAAAATAGTATTAAACATTCCATTAACAAATTAATTGTTGCAATAATTTGACCATAGAGAATAGGGTCTCTTGTTTTCTCATCTGCAAAGTGAAAAGGCTGCACATCCCATCCAGGATGGCTAGAATTCTTTATGTTTGGAGTTCTACTTAAATGCATCTTCTGTTTTTGTTTGCTCACTTTCAACAGCAATTACTGCCCCATGTCCGCATCTGGGACTCTGTTACTTTGAATACACTACATGTAATTGGCATGGGATTCTTTGATCGAGCTGTCACATGCATTGCGTTTTCTAAGTCAGTAAGTAATATTTAATGTATATTTGATATGCTTTGTAAGCTTTCCAAGGCCAATTGTAAATTTTATAAAACTGAGGCTGCTGGAAATCCTTTCTTTATAACAAAATCCATTCTTGGGCAACTTGACTTCAGTGTTGGTTGTATGGATTTTACCAATGAATGGTACATAATATTATTTGTTTCTAGAAAATGTGAATTAGTTTTGTTTGAGTGAAATCTTTATTTAATTAAGGAAGGTTTAAGTATAAGAACATAGTTTTCAAACATATTTATAGGTATAAATCTTGTTAAATACTGTCACTAAATAGCTATGTATACGTTTATTACATTTCCCTACTTTTATACAAAGCAAGGGGTGGACCTACTTTTTGGATACGAGGAACATTTAGATGAGGCAAATAGGTCTCTATGTCCCTTCTCTTTCATTTTATCTTATCCTCCTCTTTCATTTTATCTTGTACTCCATAGCTCCAAGTTGCTTTTTTTCCCAGCAGAACCCTGCTTAACTGGAAGAAAATCTGTGGAAGTAACTAAATGCAGAAGGACAGGGAGGTTACTTTATTTGTCTTAGAATTCAGTTGCAGTTTGTGTTTCCCATTAAAAACAGAGAGGTCCCGCCCTCAGCCCCTACTTTCTGGGGTGCTACAGGGTTTGGAGCTCTCCTCCCTCCTGTTTAAAATCTACATGAACCTGCTGGGTGAGCTCATCTGGTGCCACGGGATGAGGTATCATCAGTATGCTGATGATACCCAACTATACGTCTCTGCTCCTGGCGCATTAAGTGATGCTTTGGACGTCTTATCCCAGTGTCTGGAGATTGTGAAGGTCTGGATGGGGAACAACAGGCTTCAACTGAACCCTGGCAAGATTGAGTAGCTTTGGGTTTGGGGTCCTGCCGGTTCTGTGACTATATCATCTTTGGTGCTGGATGGGGTGGCACTGCCCCAGACAGACTCAGTGCGCAATCTGGGGGGTCCTCCTAGTCTCACGTCTCTTACTTGAAGAGCAGGTGGCAGTCGTGGCTAGGAGGGCCTTTGCACAGCTTCGTGTTGTATGCCAAATGTGCCCCTTCCTGGATTGTGAGGCTCTGCTCACAGTCACTCATGCCCTAGTTACCTCCAGATTGGATCAGTGTAATGCACTCTACATGGGATCACCCTTGAAGAGTATCCGCAAGCTTCAACTGGAGCAGAATATGGCAGCCTGGGCAGTTACGTGTGCTCCTAGAAGAGCACATAGTACACCTCTGCTCCATGAGTTGCACTGCCTGCCAGTTTACTTCCAGGTCCAATTCAAGGTGCTGTTTTTTACTTTTAAAGCCCTTCATGGCATGGGGCCAGGTTATCTGAGGGACCGCCTCTCCCCAATTACATCAGCCCATCCCATTAGATCCAGGGAAGGTATCCTCTGCATTCCATTGGCCAGGGACTTGCATCTGGTGGGTCCCAAGAAGTGGGCCTTCTGTGGTGTGGCTCCCTCCTCACGGAACATTCTCCCTCCTGAAGTGAGGCTCACTTAGGTAGTCCCTCAAGACCTGGTTATGCCATCAGGCCTGGAGGTCTTTGTGAACCAGAGACATTCTTAGATGGCTCCACTATAATTAATATTCTGCTCTCTCCGTGGAGTTTGTATATTTTAAAACTTTTAAAAAATTTGATAATGTTTTTATTTTAATAATTTTTTATCTTTTTATAATGATTGTTTTTGTCCATTTGTTATTTTATTTAAGAGTCAGTTTGTGTGAGATGGTAGGCTATATAAATGTGACATATAAATAAATAGATAAGTAAATAAAAACAGTTGTAGTTTCTTTGTTGATACCTGACTGTGAATACATAGTTGTTTAAGCATTTTGGTCCCAAAATTCTCAAAATGGGTTGGTTCTTACACCATTTGTTCAGACAAAGAATCCATAATGCAGGTAGTCCTTGATTAACAACCACAATTAGGACCAGAATTTCAGTCGCTAAGCAATGCAGAACCACGTGGCTCTGGGGCTATTTGCCATGCCCCAGGAAGCTGCAGTTGCCCCAACCCAGTCCCAACCAGTCTCCCTTGCCACCCTATGCTCCAAGACCCCTGCCACCTTGCGTTCCACTGCCCCAGCTGACCTTGCTCTTCTTGCAGTCTTCTTGCTCCCGCTGCTGATGAGGTGTGCCCGGCTTGGCTACTGGGCCAGGTGAGGCTGGGCTTCAGCTGTGAAAAAAGAAAAAAAAAACCCAACCAAGTCATCCCTTTGCACAGAACTCTTGGGCGGGGCTGAGCAAAGGAAAAAACCCCCAAGCAGTCCCTTTGTGCTCATTTTTTTCCCCCTTGCTCAGCCCCGCCCAAGAGCTCTGTGCAAAGGGACTGCTTATTTTTTTTTCCTTTTTTCACAGCTGAAGCCCAGCCTGACCCAGCCCAGCAGGCAGGCCAGGCACGCCTCATCAGCAGTGGGAGCAAGAAGACAGCATGATCAGCTGCAGCAGCAGAGCGCAGGGCGGCAGGGCGTCAAAACAGCATAGATGGGGGTGAGATAGGCGGGTGGGGGGACTTGCAGCACCCCTGCGGTCATAAGTGCAGGCAGGCTGCCAAGCACCTAAATTTTGATCACGTGACCATGGGAATGCATAATTTTAGTTGGAACATCAATGCTATTAAGCACTTGTCTTTAAAGTAGCAAGTCATATAAACTGAGGGATGATGGACTACTTCATGTTTTATTTCAGAATGGAGGCAGTAACCTGTGTTCGGTGGATGACTCCAATGACCATGTGCTTTCAGTATGGGACTGGCAGAGGGAAGAAAAGGTTGCAGAGGTCAAGGTATTTTGCAGTACTGTCATTTGTATGCTACTTGAGACCAGCAGGATTTTTTTGTGGTCAAAAAATGTTCATAATGTTTCAGCTTCATTCCAACATCTTGTAGATGTTACATGTGACCACTAGTTTTGCTATTAAATTATTTTCCTCTTGAAATACATCCTTCATTATAAATGAATGCTAGGGAAGAAAATATCCTGCATCTTCTGTACTTCTGCATAGGCTTACTTATTTTTGAAGAAATCATAGGAAACATATTTTGTGTGGATAAAGCGGAAGTGAAGAAAACTGCACTATTCATAACTCTCATTTCTAAACTGTGCCAGGATTTTCTGAGTCTTTTGGCATTATAAGATGCAGAAAGTTATCTTTTGGGAGATAAAATCCAGATTTACAACATTCTAGTAGCTTAAGGTTCATGTGTGAAAAGTCATTATAAATCTTTGACCAATACTTAGTCATTTGCATATGTAAGTAGAATGCATTAGAAGACAGAAAAAGTACTGCATAAGTAAAAGTTACATTCTTTTAAGACGTGAGACATCTTCCAAACCTTTATATGAAGTATTTTGTGTTTAAGTATTTTAATTTAAAAACAAAAGTCACAATGCACTGATACGCTATCAAACAAGTAGTTCTTAGTATTTAATATTATTATGTCTTTGCTTTTGTTTCCAAATTTTTAATATTTTTTCCTCTTCTAGTGCTCTAATGAAGCCGTATTTGCCGCTGATTTTCACCCCACAGACACTAATATAATAGTCACATGTGGAAAATCTCACCTTTATTTTTGGACGATTGAAGGGAATTCTCTTATTAAAAAGCAGGGATTATTTGAGGTAAGAGTGTTAATGTTCTTGTTTATTTTTTTCCCTGTAACCAGAGGATCATTAGGGGAATGTTAATCTTCTGTCTCCCAGTTTTGCTCTGTTGGCCATGCTGCTTCCTTAGAAACTAGGTCACAATGCTATAATGATATATGAAGTACTAAACAGCAGAATTCACATATTTTATTTTCTTTGTATCCTGAACTGTTCCCTAGCAACCTTCATTTTATTGTATGATTTTATTTTTTTCTTTTAAATCCTAGCCAGACTGACATATTTCTTCTCCCCTTAGAAACCATGAAATCAGTAATTTTTATTTATTTGTTTGTTTGTTTATTTATGTGTCACATTTATATAGCTGCCCATCTCACATAAAGCAACTCTGAGTGGCGTACAATTAAATAAAATAACAACTGAATAAAAACAAGCATTATAAAAAGATAAAAAATTGTTATTAAATTATCACACATCTTTTAAAAAATAGATTTTGAAATATACAAACCCCACGGAGAGAGCAGAATATCAGTTATACTGGAGCCATCTAAGAATGTCTCCAGTTCACAAAGACCCCTGGGCCTGATGACACAACCAGGTCTTGATGGACTTCCTAAACGAAAACAGGGAAGGGGGGAGAATGTTCTACAAGGAAGGAGCCACAGTTGAGAAGGCCGACCTCCTGGGACCCACCAAATGCAAGTCCCTGGGCGATGGAACACATAGCACACCTTCCCTGCTGGATCTAATGGGACTGGCTGATGTAATTGGGGAGAAGTGGTCCCTCAAATAATCTGGCCCCATGCCATGAAGGGCTTTAAATGTTAAAACCACACCTTGAATTGGACCCAGAAACAAACTGGCAGCCAATGCAACTCATGGAGCAGAGATGTAATATGTGCTCTTTTAGGAGCACGCATAACTGCCCATGCTGCCGCATTCTGCACCAATTGAAGCTTGCGGATACTCTTCAAGGGCGGCCCCATGTAGAGTGCATTATAGTAGTCCAATCTGGAGGTGACTAGGGCATGAGTGACTGTGAGTAGAGCCTCACAATCCAGGAAGGGGCGCAATTGGCGCACAACATGGAATTATGCAAAGGCCCGCCTAGCCACAACTCCATCTGCTCTTCAAGCAGGAGTAGCGAGTCTAGGAGGACCCCCCAGATTGTACACTGAATCTGTCTGGGGCAGCGCCACCCCATTTAGCACCAAAGATGATATAGTCACAGAACCGGCAGGACCCCAAACCCAAAGCTTCTGTCTTGCCAGGGTTCAGTTGAAGCCTGTTGTTCCCCATCCAGACCCTCACAATCTCCAGACACTGGGGTAAGACGCCCAAAGTATCACTTAAAGCACCGGGGCAGAGATGTATAGTTGGGTATCATTAGCATAATGATGATACCTCACCCCGTGGCACCAGATGAGCTCACCCAGCAGTTTCATGTAGATATTAAACAGGAGACAGGAAAGCACCAAACCTTGTAGCACCCCACATAGTAGGGGCTGAGGGCGGGACCTCTCCTCCCCAATCAGCGACTGGAATCCACCCTGGAGAAAGGAGGCAAACCAGCACAGCACTGTGCTGCCCACCCCCTCAGTCCCCTGACCTGATCCAGAAGGATACCAAGGTCAATGGTATCGAAAGCTGCTAAGAGGTCAAGTAGGGCAAGCATGGATGCACAACCTCCATCCCGCCCATGCCAGAGATCATCCAGAACTGCAACCAATGTTGTTTCTGCCCCATATCCAGGTCTGAATCTGGACTTAAAAGGATCCAGATAATCCGCTTCATCCAAGGCACTCTGGAGCTGTTGTGCACCCACCTTCTCAACTACCTTACCCAAAAAAGGGAGGTTAGATACTGGACAAAAGTTGTCCAGTATGGTGAGATCTAGCAATGGCCTTTTGACGAGGGGGTGCACTAGAGTCTCTTTAAGAGGCAACGGAACAACCCCACCCTCGAAGAATTAACCACCTCTAGAGCCCATTCACACAACACCCCCTGGGCTGCTTTCACAAGCCAGGAGGGGCATGGATCTTGGGAGCGTGGCTGAGCTCACAGCTCAAAGGACCCTGTCCACTTCCTTGGGTCCAACAGGTTCAAACTGTTCCCTGATAACTGGGCCAGAATCCAACCCAGGCATCTCCTCTGGAACTGCAACAAAACCAGTGTCCAACTGCTAATTTAATTATCTGTGCTACTAGATATTGTGTATATCCCATCAATTCAGTTAATCTGTATCAGAGATTCTACTTGCCACAAGCACAAATGTAAATGTGATCCAGACTTAAAGCAGGACTATTAAATTCAGTGAGACAACTTAGTCATGACTGTGTGACTATGTGAAGTCTGTTTTATTTCAGTGAGATTAAAGCTAGAGTTAACTTAATGTACCTAAAAATAATTTAAAAGAGTGAATCAAAAATTTACTATATTTTTTGTAAGATTGACGATCTTATTAAAGCCATGGATATTTGGTGATTACACTATTAAGACATTGTTTTTGCTACTGATCACTTCTTCATTTCTGTAGCCTTTCTACGCTTAGTAGAATCCCAACATGCATATTTTCCTGCTATATTTTTTATTGTTTCTTTTCTCTTTTGCTTGATAAATCTTAAGGGGAGGCCTCTCTCTCTCTCTCTCTCCCTGTCTCTCTCTCTCCCCCTCTCTCCCTTTCTCCCTCTCTCTCTCTCTTTCTCTCCTATTTCCCTGCCCTTCTCCTGAGTCAATATATGGCATCATATATTAAATAGGTGGCTTCGTTTTATCACACTTGTTCTTACACCTTTTTGTCAAACGTATATCACCAACTGTCTTTCAAGCATCTTAGCTGATAGACTGTGGCTCTTGATAGTATATTGCCTTTCAGACCCAACAAGCCAAGACCAGGGGAGAGAAGGCATTTGTACAATATAGTCTATTCATAACATTTATTAAATACATATACAGTTCTACAACATTAAGATTGTCATTTAACTTTCTCACTTTTAAGATTTCTTAAACCATGAACACAAGAATGGTTCCTTGAAGCATTATTTATTTTTTCTCCATTAGGGACAAAAGCAAATATGGTATTTTTTTTCAATTGTTAATATACCGGCTGGGTGACTTTGGGCCAGTCACTCCCTCTCAGCCCAACTCACCTCACAGGGTTGTTGTTGTGGGGAAAAGAGGAGGAGGAAGGAGTATTAGGTATGTTCGCTGCCTTGAGTTATTTGTAAAAATAATAAAGGCAGGATTAAAAAAAAAACTTAAATAAATAAAGCCTGAACTGACTACATGAAATATATAACAAAGATATAGTCGCTTAGTGATGTTTTAACTATTTTATTCTACAGAAACAAGAAAAGCCAAAGTTTGTCTTGTGTGTGACATTTTCTGAAAATGGCGATACAATCACAGGAGATTCAAGTGGAAATATCTTAGTATGGGGAAAAGGTAAGAAAAGAATGAACTTGCAGAATAGTAAATTACTATTTTCTGCATATAAAAGAAAAAATTCTTTGTAGATACACACATACACACACAATAAAAGGTAAGATTTTGGAGGGTATCTTTGAGAAATATTTTAGTCCTATTTTATGCAAAAATTATTATTTGTCAAAATACTAGATTGGATTACATTAGGTATATGCTGTTACAACTACTAAATCAGCGCTGGCAGCAGGAAAGGGACAGGCAAAGGAGAGATTGCCTACAGAAATCGCTTGCTCCCCGTCCCGCCAGAGCAGAGAGATTGGAGAGGAAGAAATTTCAAGAGAGTGTTGTAAGCTGTTTGTGCGCCGATGGCTCCCAGCCCTGGGCTGCTGGTGCAATCAGATTTCTTCTGATGCGTAGAAGAGCAAACAGCTTACTTTCTTGCAATCTCTTTCTCTCCAATCTCTGCTCTGCAAGGGGGTGGGGGGAGAAAAAAACCACAGGTCAGACACAGGACAATGCATATTGACTGTAATGGTGATTGCATGGCTGAGGGACATTGTGAATATCGTAAATGGTCATAAATGAGCCGTAAAGTTATTTTTTCAGCACCATAGTAACTTTGAACGGTTGCTGAACAAATGATCAGTGGTTCTCACTGGTTTCTGACCATCCAGTGAGATTAAGCAGGATAGGTTTACTCCAGGCCCACTCCTTTAGGAACTATTAACTACAGGGCCCAAGGAGTTGAGCCTTCTCTATTGCTGCCCACTTCTTTGGTATAGCCCATTATCTGACATCAGACTAGCCCCAACCCTGTTATATTTCATGAAAGCCGTGAAAACCTGTTTTTTTAAGAAAGCCCTAAGAGGTGATCTAGGATAAGTTAGAAACCCAGTCCTGGTCTGTGGTTGGTGCTTTTTTTTCTCAGTAGCTTATAGTTTCTTCTGCTCAAAACTTTAACATTTCATTAGAGTCCCTGACCAGAAAGAAATTACAGTGGCCACAGTACTGTATTTCCTCTAGCAAGGGGAGAACTAACTGAATAATCCAATAAAACATTATTATTTAGTGAGCTTCTTTCCTCTTCTTTCCAGGTACCAACAGAATAAGTTCTGCAATCCAAGGCGCTCATGAAGGAGGCATATTTGCCCTTTGTATGTTGCGAGATGGCACCCTTGTGTCTGGAGGTGGAAAGGATAGAAAGTTGATATCTTGGAATGGGAATTATCAGAAAATTCACAAAACCGAGGTAATGACTTCAGGCTTTAAAACTTCTCTGTTAACATTTTTGTTTTAAAGAACATGCATTGTTTTACAACTTGACACTTGAAGAGGCATCTACTCTTACTACCTTTAAAATATTAGTGTGGTTTTCACTACCAGTATATGTATTCTAAGTACATAAAAATCTAACTTTGGACGAGTCACATAATTCATCTGTTTTGAAGAGGCCATATCTTTTGATGCTTATCCTAGAACCAATAGAAGAGAATATATGTAGCTCAGAGTTAAACTGTGGAGTCCTTGGTGCTCTCTGAGCTTGGTTGTTTGCTTGCAGATGTTCCATTACCCAACTAGGTAACATCATCAGTGCTAGTGAGTGTGGGTTTGCTCCCTGTTTATATACAGTAGCTTGCCCTGCCAGTACTGGTGCGGGTGTGGTTTTCCCTTTGGTAGTTCCTTGATTAGAGTATTGTTTTCTGCTTGATTGTTTGTCTGGTGTTAATCCCTGCTTATCTCCTTGATTAGAGTATTGTTTTCTGCTTGATTGTTTGTCTGGTGTTAATCCCTGCTTATCTCCTTGATTAGAGTATTGTTTTCTGCTTGATTGTTTGTCTGGTGTTAATCCCTGCTTATCTTTGTGTTGGCTGCTGAAGAGGATGTGTTTTGGTCATTTTGTTTCCTTCTTAGCTTTTTTATTGTCTCTTTTGAATGATGTGTAAATGTGGTTTGTCTCTATGTGCCTGTTGATGGCTGATTTGTCTGAGTGCCAAGCTTCCAGGAATTCCCTAATGTTTTTGGATTTAGCTTGGTCTAGGATGCTCACAGTTTCCCAGTTGAAGCTATGGTTGAGTCTGTACATTTGTTGTGAGATTAAGGAGTTTTCATTGTGTCTTCTGACTGCTAGTTGGTGTTCATGGATGCGCTCAGCTAGTCTTCTGCCTGTTTATCCTACGTAGTGGCTATTATAGTCCTTACATTGTATGTTGTAGATGACTCCTGTTTTTTCTTCTTGGGCTACTGGGT